GGGCCGCGCCACCGGCGGAAGTTCCTATTTCATCCCGCCGCTGCCATGGCAACGGTGGCAGGTGCGTCCTGAGGTGGGACACGCCGCCCGCGTCCCAGGCTCCGCTCCGGTTGGTCTCGGCGGGGCCCGGCCCGGCGGTCCAGCGAGCGCGGTTCCACCGGGAACGGGCCGCAACCATCGCCCCGCCGGCCTGACCTTGGGTGTGCGGGCCCGGCCCGGCCCGCTGGGGCCGGGGAGCGGAGCAGCGCTCCCGGTCCAGGCCCGGGAGGGCGCCGGGCTGCCGGCCGCCCCGCCGCGGCGGGGGCGGGTGTTTTCCCCAGCCGGTTCCCGGCCCCGGCCTCCCCGATGGCGCTTCGCTGACTCGTGTTTGGCTGTTTGCTTTCAGGTCGCCTGGTGCCGTTCCCCGGAGGGGCTGCGATCGCTCCTGAGGGTCTCCGGCAGTCCGGCACCGCGGCCGGGCGGCCCTGCCAGCTTCACGGGGAACATTGAGGTCTTCCTCGGCGTCTCTAGGCCGGTGGGTTTTCCCGGGCGGCTGCACGAGTCTCGAACGTGCTGCACGTCCTTCGGGAAGTGCTCCGGTGCTTCCAGTGGGTTGTTGGTGGTGAGGAGCCACGGGCTGGTGAGCCCCGAGTTGGGAATCTGGTGTTTGTTACAGTGGTAGGTGATCAGCTGGGGAGACGAATGAACGAATCCGTAAACCTTCCATATTACCTGACACAGCTGCGTGTCTTCAGGGTCTGGCTGATCGTTTAGGGTGAATATTTCACGTAGTTGATGGTGAAAGAGTGTGAGTTTGTAGTGTTACTCCGATTTACTGATTGAATGAGTGTTCAGTTCCCAAAGTAATCTTAAACTGTGATTGGGCCAGGAGGACTTTGTAGTTAGCACGCTCATTCCACAGCCATCAGGATGATGGGAAGCACCGCTATCTCTTACCAGTATTAGAAATACAGAAATATAATGCAATGTCAGATAGCAAATGTCCTTTCTTTATTCTTTCCCTTGCATTTCTCAGACCTACTGGGTCACATGCCAGCATTTTGAAGGTCATGGTCATTTAGACAGGTAAACGGGTTGAAATCCTTCTTTAGAAGCACTAGATGCACATACCACAAGATGGTGGCGGTGGCAGGCACCTGATTTGGTATCAGGCAGGCACTTGGATCGGGGAATGCGATGTCAAAAAGGATCACATGTGCTCCCTTGCCCAGAGCACTCCGAAATCGGCTCCTGGGTTGAAGGGAACTTCTGTGTATAAATGGGATGTTGCAGCAGCTTCAGTATGTATAGGCAATGCCATTGATCCAACACTTCTACTGTTTTTTGAGAACTGCTTCTTTTATGTTAAATTCAAACGAAGTGCCTGCTGTGCTTTAGTACTTGTAGGTGGCACAGGCCTTACAGATTGTGTCTGAAAGCAAGGGTTCTGTCGTAAACGCTTCTGGGAGGACTTGCTGTGCCTGGCTCTTGCAAGTTCCCAACTCAGAAGCATGATGTCTTCCTTACATGAGGATCGCTGTAGGCTTCAACACTTCCTGACTGGACAGATACAACAGTTATGGCAAAAGGAGCATGTAGCTTCTGAAACTGAACTAAAGGTCTCTTTTTTTTTAAATTGTTTTTATTGTATTTCTTTATGAGTTTCTTTTGAGGGAAAAATATGGTTTGGCCACAGGCAGCTGTCACCCATATGAATGACACCATATATATGAATCATCTGCTTAACAGTGTTGTCTCTGGTGAGACTCTTCCACACTGTGTTAGTTGAATTAGCATGACCCACTGTGCCCTGTCTAAGAGTGGCATATCTACAGATGTGGCTTTTTTAGTATATGCAAGTAGAACTACAATAATCTGAATTAATACACCAAACTGCTGCATATATGAAGTGGTGTATAAGCCATCTAATATGAATCCCTGTCTCTGCTTTTAATTCTCATATTGACAGAAACACTTCATCTTTGTAAATTATTTAGATGACATTTTCACTTGCCAGACCTTAAAGGATTAAATAGGGGGAAAGCCAATCCAGGTATATACATGTTTTGTTTTAAAAATAAATTGTATACTTGGTCAAAATAATCTGTCAGGTTGCTTTGAGCAATCCAGCTTGTTTCTGTACAGCCTCTGCCACGTGTCCTATACATAACAGCCTGTAGTGGCTGCACCTTGAGAAACATGGTCCTCATGCCAAGCAGGGGCACTAGCCCCAAATACCATTTTGAAATCGTGTATCTCATGCATGTTGCTGGTAGGGAGTATCTGAAGTTCACAAACCACCACCAGCCTCACTTGGTTGGTACTGACTTAACTCAAGCTGTGCTGTAATGGAAGTTAGGATTCAGACCACCTGCAAAACCAGCTTTTTACAATTTTTGAATAAGCAACCCCATTTTAAATGATGAACAGGTGTTGCCTGGTAATGATTACTTCAGTACTTCCCTGCTTTATTTGGTGGAACTGTCTCTGTTTATGTGTCCTTAAGGACCTCAGATCTAGCCTAGCTCAAGGTCTGAACTTCTTGATAGAACATGAAAATCAAGTGTGGGTTCAAGATGCTTTCTTTCTCTACAGATGAGGCTGCAGGTTAATTAACTGTTAGAAGCGTTCTTGTAGATTAATTTAAGCCTGTGATTGCAATTGCATACTAGTTTTGGTTGGGATAGAGTTAATTTTCTTCATAGTCACTTGTACAGGTCTGTGTTTTGGATTTGTGATGAAAACAGTGTTGGTAACACAGGGATGTCTTAGCTACTCCTACGCAGTGCTTGCAGAGTGCCCTGAGATGTTCTGCTCCTCGCTGTGCTCGGCCAGGGAACAGGCTGGGGGTGCATAAAGAGTTGGGAGGGGACACAGCTGGGACAGCTGACCCAAACTGACCCAAGGGTTTTCCAGACCATATGATGTCATGCTTAGCAATAAAACTGGAGGCAGCGGCGGGTGGAGGTTGGCAGAGGGGCAGCTGTTCAGGGACTGCCTGGGCATCAGTCGGTTGGTGGTGAGCAATTGTTTTCATTTGCATTGCTTGTTTTTCTTGGGTTTTATTTCCCTCTCTCTCTGTTGTGTTTTTCTCCTTACAAATTTTTTTTAAAAGTTTCTTTTTAATTATTAAACTGTTTTTTATCTCAACACACAAGTTTCTTTCTCACTTTTACCCTTCCAATTCTCCCTGCCACCCCACCGGCACAAGGGGGAGAGCGAGAGAGTGGTGGTGTGGTGCTTAGTTGCTGGACGGGTTAAACCATGACAAATTATTATTTAAATTATCTGCTGTGTTCTGCCACAGGGAAGGATGGAGTGGAATGATCAGAATTTCTAATGCTACTGCATGTATTTTATTTAATTTTTTATTTCTTTTTTTCTTAGACTCTTTTCTGTCCCCACCACCACTGTCCCGGTGATGTGTATTTTACTAGTGTGAGAGTAGACCTGTCACTGTTTGAATTCCATGGCACAGTAAATGGGGAAATCTAATATGTAAGCTTCCTCTTGTCAGCTGTAATGTAGCACTTGAGGAGTCCATATCTCAATTTCCTTCCCAATTTATTTCTATTTTAATTTAAAACTATACAGAAAGGAAAAACTGCCACTTTTTCAGGTCTCTGAGACTTGAGTAGAAAAGAGTGCAACATCCATCAGATCTGGCATTTGTTGCTTTTCTCCTTTGAATTATATGGGGATTTCTCAGGTGTAAGATACCAGGTGTGTTTAAATAATCTGCTAATGTGAAAAAAGCTGCAGGGTCACTTGCAGCTCTGCTCATGTTCGTTCTTTCCTTTTTTGATGTAGGGAAGGAGAACTGAGATATACTGCAGTAAGAAAAACAGTATGATGGATTCAGAAGGTTCTGCCCCAACGAATTCAAAGGAATATCTAAGCAATGATATAACGGCTACCTCTGGTAAACATTATCTTTGTGGCTACTGTGCGGCCTTCACAAATATAGCAGTCACTTTTCCCATCCAGAAGGTCCTCTTTCGACAGCAGTTGTACGGTTTGAAAACAAAAGATGCAGTACATCAGCTGCAGAAGGACGGAATTCGAAATCTCTATCGTGGCATTCTTCCCCCATTAATGCAGAAAACGACAACGTTGGCACTAATGTTTGGCTTGTATGAAGATTTCTCCTCCCTGCTCCTTAGCCACACAAGTGCTCCTGAACTCCTCACTCGCAGCATGGCAGCAGTGCTTGCAGGGACCACAGAAGCTATTCTTACACCTTTTGAGCGAGTTCAGACTTTGCTTCAGGACTACAAACACCACGATAAATTTACAAACACTTACCAGGCTTTCAAGGTACTCAAAGTCTATGGGATGAGAGAATATTACCGGGGATTGGTGCCTATTCTGCTCCGAAATGGACCCAGCAATGCACTCTTCTTTGGCCTACGGGGACCTATCAAACAGTGTCTGCCTGAAGCAACTTCTTACAGCGCTCATTTGGTCAATGACTTCATCTGTGGAGGGCTCTTGGGTGCCATGCTAGGATTCTTGTTTTTCCCAGTGAATGTTGTAAAAACTCGCATGCAAGCTCAAATTGGTGGTGAATTTCAATCCTTCTCAAAAGTTTTCGTGAAGATCTGGCTGGAACGTGATAGAAAACTGATCCACCTTTTCAGAGGAGCCCATCTGAATTACCATCGTTCTGTCCTGTCCTGGGGCATAATCAATGCAACCTACGAATTCTTGCTAAAGCTGTTATGAAAACCACTATCTTCCTTCGGCTCGTCTGTTCATTTGAGTATTGGCATGTATGATGTCACTTAATCCCAGGGAACAGTGCCTGCGTAATGTGAAAGGTAATTAGTCTTGGCCTTCAATATTTATGGGGTGAATGGTGATGCATCTAAACCTTTGTGCAATTAAGATGACCTTTTTGAAGTATTTTTGCTGGGAAGTGAGTTTACCCATAATGGAGCTACTAGACAAACACAAGGTTTAAAAAAAACAAAAAAAAAAAAAACAAACCCAACACTTACATTAGTCCAGAGGCTTATTCTGTATCACTCCCAAAATTTCTTAACGCTCCGCGATGGAATGTGCTCCACTGTCCACATTGTAGAACATGAAAATCAAGGAGGGGCTGATGAAAATTGATTCCCTTGCCTGATAAACTTCAAAATCTGTATTTAAGAACTGCATTTTCAAATGTTTTAGGGTCTTAAGTACTCCTTATTGTTTAAAGCTAAAAGGACACATCCAGATGAGGATGACTGAAGTTCAGAACTTCAAGCTTCAACTAAGCCTACGCAGACTATTCTGCCAGCCATTTTGATGCTTGGCTTTAAGATGAACATTTCATTCAGCAGTGTAAGAGTGGTTACTAAATGTTTAACTTCAGTTGAAGCTGACTCCAGTTCAAAGTGGGATCTCTGTGTATATGTACATATGTGCCTTCATGTGAAAAGGGAAAAGTGGAAGGAATGAAAGAGCAAATTTACTAAAGCTTTAAAGTGTCCTTCCTTGTTAAAAAAACACTTACTTGCAAGCATGGGAGTTTGTTCTGCTTTTTTTTTTCTTTTTCTTTTTTTTCTTTTTTGCATTGCTGCTTTTTCTGTTGCTTACAGCTATGGGGCCAGAAAGAAGATGGCCCTTTCTGTAATGCTCATGAAATAGTTCAGCTTCCTGCAGCTGTGAAAGTAGTTCACAAACACAGCTCTCTTCTACTGAGGTATCTTGTCTTTTACAAATTACTTCTCTTTCATTTGTGCTGTGGAATAATGGATCACAACGAGATATTTTTACCTGAAACTTGGACTTCTGCCTACTTGATGTGTACTCTTAATAGTGCTGTGTGGCAGAATTGTACAGCAACACCAACAAGAGGAGGTTTCTGGGTATTACCCACTTCGGTGGAGGTCTGTAAGTGTGGCAGAGATGACAACCAAAGATGATCTTAGAAGCAGTTAGGTAGGAAAGATACAGCATTTGGAGACGTTTAAGGAATTCTGTAGGTGAGTATTGAAAAAGACTTGCAGAAATACAAAGTATTGTGTGTCTTACAGACTTGGGAGTTGAGAGATACAAGACTTCAGGCCTTAGAGAAAGGGACAGAAGAGCAAGCATGACCATAAACCAGGTGAGGGTCTTAACAAAAAGCATTTGATTCTTTGGGGGGACTTTTTATTTTATGAAACTATATATAAAAAACCAAAATATTTTGGATGATGGGGGCAGGAAAGCTTTCAGAAACTGTCTGAATTGGTCTTTTCCTAAGTTTTGGAGTAGCTATTACTTTGCATTTGAGTTTTTCACTAGCTAAACTGTCCTCAAATATTGGTCCCAATCAGTGTGTTATAAACATAATATAGACCCTAGCTTCACAGTCCAAAATGGCCAGGCACATGTGAGTGTTCTTGTATCTGAATGTTGTGATTATCTGCATTTAAATAAAATGTTTACTGTTACTGTCTGTTACTGGCAGAATCTGATTTTCACCAGTGTACTGTTTTTTGTAATCACTCCTTGATGGAATAAAAAAAATTTGCATCCTCTTTCTCTGTGGAAGATATTATATATTTCTCTAATGTTGGGAAATCTGAAGCATTGAGGGTAAGAGTTTAACATAAGCCTGCCACTAACTGGTGATTGGCATTACTGTAGCAAAAAGGGGAAAGTAGAGTCCTGGTCTGTTGCTGTCTCTGCTTATGTGGCATGGTTAGATGGAGTGCACTGCAGGTCTGTCATGACAGAACTATGCTCAAGTATAATATTTGCTTTGCTTTATAACCACTGATGGTTTTACAACACAATCTAAAAAATTGTATGCTTAACAAATTACAGATGTTTTAGGTGTAAGAGGACAGATACACATAATCAGTGAAGAGAACTGTGTTTTGGCACACAAGTTACTGTGAGATGGAATAGGTAGTTTGCTAAACAGGATGTGTTGCCAGTCTGGGAACAAGAGGGCACAGAAGGAGTTGTGATGCTTCAACTAACGTGAAAACAGCTCTGTTCAGGCAAGTTTCAAGATTGTTTCCAGGCTTAACAAATTTGACTATAAGAAGACTGCCTCAACCCCATACTTAACGCAGTTGCAATTTAAGAACACAGATGATACTGGGCAAGGATCAGGAAAGAGTAGATCTTCAAACCAAGCGCTAGGTAGCAGTGTTTCTATGTGTTGTCTTGTTCGCTGGGCAGGGTTACTATGGGTAGCATGAAGAAGAAAGTCTATGAGAGAGAACTGACCTTGGCTTATCTTCCCTGGCTGGTTAGCACCCTTTTCCGTGGGATAGCTCAGAAGTGGGATCCTCAGCCTTTTGTTGCCTTGTCTCAACACTGTGTTGCTACTAAACCAGGACATTGCCAGGCTTCAGTTGCTGCCTTCTCTGAAAACATGCAGCTGGGATTCTTAGTCAGGTTTGACCAACCTCTAAAGCAGAATTTTAAAAATGACTGCTGGTGTCTCAGTTGATTTTCTTGTGTACTACAACAATCATTTCCAGCTAAAGGGAATGGGAATGTCTCCAACAACATTAATGGGAATACTGCTGAAAGACTAATAGAGCTAGACTTTGGGTAATTACTTTGAGCAAAGGATAGCAATATTGCAAAATACTGCTTTGTGGTTTTTGAGGCATATTTCTATTCCAGAGACCTTGTAGTACCCCAGGTATTTAAGTTTGGCCAGTTCTTAGCTGTTTGCAGTGGGAGGTGGGGAAGAACACAAGTTTTTGCATAGGAAAGTAAACTAATAAGAAGGCAACAGCTCTTGGTAGTTCTGAACTGACAGCTGGAAAAGGCAGGAGGCTCCAGTAACAGCTCTGAGAAATAAACATCACATGTCAGTCAGGCTGTGATAGTCCAGTTAGGGGTTTTTTTTTCCTCATAGAAACTAATGCCATCAAATTTCTAACAACTAGAGAGACAGCTTTCCCCTTGTTTATTATGCACTGTGTAGCGTGGGGGTGAGAGAAAGCCACAAGTGCTGACAAGCCTAAATAGCATTTTTGCAGCATCAGGATAGGTAAACTGTATATAGTATATTATTTTAGACAGGGTACAGACTGTTTACCACTGCCTGCTCAGGTGGTCTGCATCAAACAGGGCTGTTGTATGGATAAGAGGTTCAGAGTCAAATTTTGAATCTTAGCTCATTTTCTGGAAAAACTTGATGGAAAAGCTGAGTCTGATGCACAAGCTTGAGAACTGCAGCAGCTGAGTGTTACCCCCTTGACAGCAAAGCTAGGGCAATAAAGTGTGCTCATTTCCTCAGCTGCTTAGCTTGTATTCCTTTACCCCAACTCAAATCCACCTTCTGATTTAAACCCAGATGTCATGCTGCTCCTGCACATGTTGAGGCCTCATTTACAGGAAACACAACAGCAGATAACCAAGTGACATGCACAACATGCCCCAAGCATGCAGTGCCCCATTAACTGTGACATTCATCTGCACCTCAGGTAATGCTGAAACAGAATTTGGCTTTGTGCAGGTGCTGTTTTCAGTGTGCTTAATAGTAACTGGCTTCACTACAGCCCAGACCTTTGCAAGTGGAAGTGTAACAGGGCAGAATGTCACTCTTGGTACAGGCAACCCACAACCCTCTACCACAGACACAGCTATCCAGGGCAGAGCAGGCAGGATAGTTTTCAGTTTCAGGCTGTTCCCTGGGGGCAGATAGTTGCCTGCTCACCACTGCAAGACTCCTTCAGCAAAATTTTACAGGAACAGCAATCCTGCCTTCAAGGGTTTGCTGTGTGACCAAAAGGAGCTCTCTACCCCAGAGGTACTGTCTCAGGCAATGGAATGGTTAATTCTACTGTGTTTGTAATTATCATACTACATCCAACATCTGTCCTGCTTTCTAGGCTTCATGAGTGAGCTGCTGCTTCTCACAAGCGTGCTTGATGGTAAGGACAGTACCCAAGAAACCTATGAAGGGAAGGAGACTTGCATAGAGAGGTTGTTTACCTCTAAGCACTGGGTTTTTTTCCCCTCTCAGTTGTAGGGAGGCAAGAACCAGTGAGCATTACAGAACAGAGCTCAGTGTAAGATAAATACATTAAAATAGATTTTAATTCACTGAATTATTAAATGTTTAATTTATTATGCAAGCAAGAGAAACTGTCCACAAATAGTAAGTTACTGTACGGCTGTAAGTACAATATTTTCAGAGCAGTTCCGATACTTTCGATACTGTATTAAAAGGCTACAATTTTTACTATGAAATCTCAGGTATTTCAAAATACTCTACATGCAGAATTTGTTCTTGTATTAAAAACCTTATACTTAACTGAAGATACTTAGTGCTTAAGAAAATGCACCTTTGACTAAGATCAGGAATGAGAAGTTTCTTTTTCCTGCAGGACAAAAATATTATGGGCTGTTGACTTTTTACTCCCAACTTTTTAGAATCTTGTAAACTAGATTTTTTAAAAGTTTTCATTTGGCAAGTATATTTCTTTTTTATGAGTTCACATTTCGTAGAGCAACAGACCCATGGTTTACAGTATCGGGACCTCTTCCACATCAGTGTTACTCAAATTAAAAAAAAAAAACCAAACAAACCAACAACAACAAACAAACACACCCCCCACCCACCCTCCCAACCCCAGAAAAACCTGATGTTTACATTCTAATTCTGGTAGTAGGCAAACTGTCCTTACCAAGACTCCAAGAGTGCAAACAAACGTGTGTCTGTCTGTATCACTGTGCTTTTCTTCCTATCCCCAATAGTTCTGTTTGGACATTACATTTTTCCCTGAACTACCCATGTTTGACAAGTGGACTGATGCCCCATGGCTGTATATATACTGAAATACACACACACACACACACTCCTCATACAGAGAAAGTACATATACATGAATGTCATTGTATAATTCCATTAATAGATTCTCTCCCCCTCCCCACAAATGTCTAACAGTGCTGCAGTGATTTAAAGACTGACCTCTAATGGAATACTCAGAAAATGCATTTACTCCCACAATATACAGCCACTGGACTATTACAAAAGTATTACTAGCTTCAAACACTAGTTTGGTTCCTGTAGACACTGCTATACATTGACATTCCTATAGAGATCTTAATTATGCAGTTTATCTGCTTCTGCTGGTCAGCCATGCTGTGAATGGAGGAATTCTTTTACTACAGAAGTTAATGGATATGAAACCATGCATTTAAAAAACATATTGCATGCTTTACAATCAAATGGAGAGCTCTATTTTCAGTAGAAATACTGTAAAATTTACCAAGTGATATAACACTTGAGTGGTCAAAAGTAAACCATTTAAAGAAACCTCTGGTATAAGCCACTACCATACTTTGCTGTTAGTGCAGTCTTTCATCTACCATTTGAAACATTTTCTTGTATTTGTTCAGACAGTTTTATATAGCTCTAGAAGGTTAAGAATTAATCTTTTCAAACGTAACAGTAAGATAAACTTTTTTTTTTTTTACTATCTAGAAATAATCCAAAGCTCACCCACAAATTACTTCATAGTTCAATAAGGCAAGGTAATACCATTCAGAAAGACAACCGAAAATCACTCCTTCCACCAAGATGCAACTGCAAGGCGTATCAGTTACAAACTATTGAATAGTGTTTCAGTAAGTGTTACGTGAACTTCATAGGTAAAATAGATTAACTTTCATTGAAAATTTCCAAGTATTGCTGAAAAGGAGTAATCAAATCATCAAAATCTAGGATTACCTACTTATTCTAATTCAAAATTATTACAAATGTAATCAGAAGAACTAAGTAACATTTCTACAGCATATATGGACAGAATCCATCTTAATATGCATCTGCCAGACTTGCTACAAAAACATCAATGTTGTCATCAAACCGCTTAACCAGGTCAACTTTTAGCATCAGTCCTACACTCTTGCTCAGTGGCCCTGGTTTCCAGGGCTGGGCAGGGCTGGTCAACCCACCGCTCTCAGTGCTGTGCATTGCAGGTAGTATCTAGATGCGATGACATGTGTCACTTTGGAGTAACAGTTTTTTATACAGGAAAGTTAGTGTCCAATGCTTCAGAACAATACTCTTGTAAAAAACAGCGTATCATGAGGTAGAATTAAAAAAGTAACACTCAGTGCACATTAACAGGCATAGAATTAAAGTCATAAGCAATCTACCAGTTCAAGGAATTTCTGACAAGAAAAAACAAAACCAGCCATGAAAACAAACGGAACTGCTTCTTCGCCTCCAAAAGCAACACAGTTCAAGCCTATGAGAACGGTAAGATTTCTTCAAGATGTTACCTGTAGTCCCTTTAATGACATTTAGCAAAACATTAAGATGAGAAAACAGCAGCCTAAAAGCAGGGAGAGTGAGAGCTTAGGGAAAAAGCCATTATGATCCAGTGCAGGGACAGGGGAGAACCTGTTTCTTTATTACTAAAAGGCCACAATTTTTATGGAGGGGAGTGCAGAGAAATGCAAGTATTCATACAGTCACACTGCATTCTGCTTCAAAATACTTGAGGAACAGGAAATTTAGCACTTCCATTAGACTAATGTCAAGAACACAGTATCCAGAAGTTTTGCCACATGCTGCTACTGGGGTTTCTTTGTTCATTTCCCCCCCCAACCCCCCAAACAGCTTGGCCAATTAAAAACTTGACACTCAGCTCTTCTTTTCCATAAAACCCTTGTATTCCACAACTGTCCTCAAGCCTTCTGCATACTTCATTTCTATTGCTTTAAGTTAGAGCTGAGGGAAGTCCCCCGAACTGTTTCTAACAAACCAACGGATCCAAGCTGCCCCAGACGTAGGTTCAGGTTCACAGGCTGTTATATGCACACAAAAGGAGCTGGGTGCCAAGGCAAGTGATGTATTTCCAACTAGTCTCAGATACATTTGCATGTTTTATTCCTTCAGTCACTAGGCCCCATTTTTCATGGCTTGGCCAATTAAAGTGAAAAAATACATCTTTATGAATCATGTTCCTTGCACATAGTTCCAAAAGCATTCAAAAGGTACAAGTGTTTGAACTTAAGAGTCAGTGTTTTAGAAAACAGGACATCTCTCTTCATTTGTGATTACATCAATCTACCTTTGAGTTCAAGACAATAGTTTCAGCAACAATGGAATTGCTCACAAGATATGCTATGGAACATTTCAACCTATGAGTTGCTATTTGAGAAGGCTATGGGTGTTTATTTGCTTTTTAAGTTAACTGAGTATATTTACTTAAATTGTTATTCTTCCTCTAGCTGGGACAATATTCTACTGAGACAGTATCACCAAATAATTCCATTAAAAAACCCATGAGAACACAAAGTTTAGGACTTTTACCAAACAGTAGGAAGCCTGTCAGCTGTGCATACTTAAACTACTTGAATGTAGTCCTTTAGCAGTCAGTTGCTAGAGATGATGAAAACCCAATGCAGGAGTAATTAACTAGTCCTCAGAGTACCAAATAACCCAATATTGAAGGCTTTGTATTACTAAAGAAATTCTCCAAAAGAGGAAATTTAAGATTTTTTTTTCTCATAATGCAGAAGAGCCTTAAGTTTCAATAACTTCACCAACTCCCAGAGTATGCTACCCACACAAATTCAAAACTACAAGAGGATCATCAGGCTTAGTACTTCTGGCTATCTTATCTTCACAGATGTCTTCTTTTTCCCCACACACTTTGCAAAAGGCTTTACAGGAGTCAGCTTTTAAAAAGCATGCTCTGTTGAGCTGGAGATAGTGAATCTGAACACCAAAATATGACACTCCTTTTTAGGCAAAGCTTCCTGCTGAATTGAGTGTGATTGGTCAGCAAAACCTTAATGAAATACCAAAAAAAATCTTGGAACACATAATTGATGAGAATATTATAAACTGATATGGACATATGAGACTGAAATAATTGTGCATTTATGAGGTTAGCTATATTAACTTGAGGTGCAAAACTTAGCATTCATGCTTAATATGTGATTTAATGGTGAACATTAACTTTTTTTACATCTTACAATCAGCCCGGTTAAATCCAAATAGATCCTACTGTACACAGGCATGCTTTTAATCCATTCCCAAACTGACAGTACATGTGAAGAAAGGCTTATCTGGTGATACTACGGACACATCCTAGATGAATTCCTCTCACGGCAATGGTGCAGGCGAGGTGTGGAAAAACAGTCAGGTGGGAAATAGCCTTAACATCAGCAGAAAATTCTGCCGTGTTGTTTCAAACGTGGGATGAAGGTTTGTGTTACTGATGCAGAAAGCTCCCTACAACAGAAACCCTGGCGGCTGAGGAGTCAAAGTTGCCCAAGAAAGGCTGACACATCCCCATTGTACAAAACATCCAAACTGTTCATCTGCAGTGGTTACAGGGCAGAGTCTTTAGCTGTTCAACTCCTGCTTCCCTGCCCCAGTCTTTTCCTAGTAAATTCTCTGAGGAAAAAATGCAGCTACATCTCCATACAGAACCTCTTCCTTCTGGCAATAAACACAATATATGCAATCACAGAAAAAAAGATGTTTTAACTGCAGCAAAACATTACAGAACATCAACTCATTTTTCTAGCCAATCACAAGCAACTGAATTAATATATAAACAAAACCAAAACTTTTTCTTTTTGTGACAGTAACTAATTCTGTTAGTTACACAGAAAAGCAGCTCATCATCTAATAATCACCATATAGTAGTTTCAGCAACAGAAACTGCCAAAGAAGCATACATGAGGAAGTCTAGCTCCTTTGGAACAAGGTGTCATACCTGGAGAGCCGGGGCAAGTTTTGGCTGGACTGCTACCCTTGCCCCCTCTATATTTGTTTCAAAGAGCCCACTTCAAGTTGCATTGAAGGAAATTATCAACAAGTAGCATGGTACAAACAAACCAGAACAATGACTTAATGGCACAGGATCAGCAGGAGCAGAGGTCTGAAAACACAGCACATGGAAGCGGACTTGTGGATGCAGTATGAGAATGCATACAGTGCTGGGCTGGGAACTTGTTCCACTGTTGTGTTCAGAGATCATAGTAACTATGATCTTATCTGGATTTAGATATTTCAGAAAGAACACACTTCAACTAAACTGAAGTAAAAACCACAAACATCTGAAGGTCCTGTTGATGCAATATGTGCCTAGAACTTTGGCTGATACAGAGAAACACGTCCACTAAGGCACCCCGAGGCAATCTGACAGTGTGTTGGAGAAAATTTGGTTGTCAGTACCACATCATTGTGAGAGTAGAGGGAACGGATTTCTTTCAGGGGACTGGCTTCTTTGGGCAAACAGTCAACAAGCTCGCTGCAGTGTGCATCAAACCCCAACAAACGGATCCCAAAGCCATGCGGGGATGAAATCATCCGACCATCAGGACTGAAACAAAGTTCTTTGATGTAACCCCGGCCCACATTAGCTTCTTCAATGCAATGAGTCAATCTCAGGGAACAACGAGGTGAGACAGGGCGCACAGGGGCTCCTTCCTGGAATTCATAGACACAAGTCCACTAAAGGGAGAGGCAGAGAAAGGAACATTGAAAGAAAATTAAAGCACTGCAAAGACAAATGCTATTGCTTATCTACTCTTTGATAAGCACGTACTACAAAACACTGAAAACAGGCCGGTTCCTTGGCATCTCCTCCGCTTTGAACTATCTAAGCAGAACAGCTGTCTATTATCAAAGCCGCTTTTTTAATTAAATGAATGCTAGATATAATCTTTTAAATCTAGTTTTTATCTGGAAAGAGCAAAGGCTAATCCTTTGGCCAGACATCTGCTCTAATTTAGTAACCATTTTAATGAAATCTACAATAAAGCAGAACTCGGCCTACTATAATTTACAATTGACCATTGGCATTTTGTGCCCTTAACTTCAAAAGGAAAGAAATCTTCAAACAAGAGGGAAATGGATTTTTGAAGGAATGTTATGAACAGCTCTATAGCCAGCTTGTTTCTTGTGAGACCGCCAAGGATTTTATATGTAATCTAATTATCTAATCTCAAACCAAATGCAAAAACAGCTCTATGAAAAAGTTTGTATCATGCTGAAAGATTCAATTTCAGCCACAAGGCAAAAGAAGTGTTCTTAGTTCTGTTCCATGTATTCTGAAATAAACACAAAGGGAACAATACTAATGAATATTAATAGAAGAGAGTAAGGCAGACACTAGGACTATGGGAAATTATAACTAGGTCAATGTCAGTATCAACTAACCCAATATAATACTTGCACTTTCAAAAAATTCTGTGTTGTATAGTGGTTTCATTGTAAGTTTACAGAACCAGCATTAAAATTTATAACAGATCTGCTAAGCTTCCATTCAGTCCTCTACACATCTGTAAGAGGCTACCATTACAAAGAGTAGCTTTCTTAAAAAAAAAAAAACAAACACAAACAAATAAATAAAAACCAAAAAGCCACAAACACCAAAAAAACCCAAAACCAAACCAACACCAATTTACATCAGCTATCAAACTAAACTGGTCAAGTATTCAAAGAATTCTTTGTGGGTTTGGAAAACAAATAAAAAACATCTGCGTCTTCAAAACTGAGTGGTCTGCACAACTGTCACAGCACTAATTTTGAAATAATCTTAGGAAAAAACGGTGTTTGCAAGAGGACGATCTGGTGGAATCCAGAAGGCTCTGGATCTGGAGGCTCTGGCTGGGCTTTAAGTTACAGATGAACTTGAATTAACCTGGAAGTTACTTCAAAAGCAGGCGCTCCCCAACACAGCCTGCAGGCTCTTGCTTTTTCTATACAGTCCATGAAGAAGTTTTTTCATTTTTTCTGAGTGCATTACAGACTGCTTGTTTGTCTTAAAACAGGATCCCAGTGCAATACAGCAGCTGTTTTGTGACACTTCACAAACAGAATCTGGGTAAACAATGCAACACTGACCTTAAAGCCTGCCATTACTTCTTTAAAGCAGTATTTAGGGGAGTGAAATCTGCAAGTTGCAGATGAGCCATAGCTGTTCTTATGACTTTGTACTTTAAGTAAAGGCTTGAAATGGATTCTGCCAGGAATATCACTGATACCCCCTTTATATTTAAGTTGCAGAGTTTTAGGATGAGAGTTGAGACCAAGGCACTTGAACATTACTTAAATATCACTGGAGTTCATCATATTCAGACCTATGGTGTAGCAGTTTTAAGTAGATGCAAAAATATGCCATGAGTTTTTTTCACAGCAGTGTAGGAGCAGCCTCTGGAAAGCATTCATCAGCACAGCGGGAACACTTCATCCTTGGAGCACCAACGGAGGTAGCAAACATTCCGAAGGCACTTGAGAAATTCAGAGGAGCTTCTCTGCTCAACTTAAACCACATTCACCAGTACACAACTCTAATCCTCTGTCTTTTCTGAGTTCACACCTCCTATATTCTTGCAGGTACATATTTTTAAGTCTTGTATTTGGCAGCACAACTACTGTTTGAAAACTTTTAACAGAGCCGTGAACTGTAAAACATATTCTGTGAAAGAGCCAAGCAACAGGAGTAATGAATGAGGGACACAAAGTCATATGAGGTCATTAGAAAACAAAAAAGAAAAAAGAATTTCATTATCTTGGTGTAAAATCAATGCATTTGTAAGCAGAAATAACTGACTAATATATTCAAATGCAAATTTACCCCAAACCAAGGAAATTTCAATATAGTTGTATGATCGATATATCTTACTCAACATATTCTTTAAAAGATGTATTTGTTTTACCTCCTGGTCATCTGTATTACTTGAGCACCGAAGAAGCGTAGCCCACCCTTTTGGATGTAGCTGTAGTGATGTAATGCAATTGCCTCGATCTCTTTCTCCAGGAACCTCTGGTGTTAAGACCTCCAAACTATTTCTAGGTGAACCACCTAGAAGGGGAAGTCAACTGTAAGTCTCAAAGTCTGCACATTGATCTTCACCTCTCTCATCAGTCTACTGCTGAAACTAGGTCAAACATGTGACACTTGCATCTGACTGCTAGAAAAGACCACACCTTTATGATAGGATAAATCAAAAGAGAGGTTACACGAACAATTGAAGCTAATACCAATGAGCTCGGTCCTGATTTCAAATAGCTTCTTTTTTGAAATTTGCCTTCCAACACCTCTATTAAATCACCTCATATTGTGAACTAAGTCAGAGTTAACTTTCCACACACACACTCTTCATTATCATTAAAACAAAATCTAAAAAGTGGGGGTTTTTTTGTAAGGACTACTGGTTCTCAAACTTGTGTGATGTGCTTTCCAAATTCTTTCCAAAGTCTGCTCAGCTGTATGCAGCTTGCCTCCCTTCTCCCCCTCACCCCTAGAAAGCTTTTCACTGGTAAATCATGCCCTGCAATCCAGATAAGCCTCCTCCTTTCATAAGTATGTTTGAGATTCGCACAACCATGAGTAGTTAAAACTTAACATAATTGCATATGATTCACAAAGTATTTACCAATTTGCCAAAATCACGCTGACTCTCTGAAAGTGTATCCTAGATTCAGAGGAAGCCTGCTAATCACAGCATCATCAGTTTTCACAGCTCTGTAGTTAGGCAGGACTTGGTTTGTAATCAGAACTTCACAAAACACTCTGTCCACATTTAAGACCTGTTGGCATACTCTTTTTCCATGCTATTGACTCTTCATGGAGAAACTGCAGATACATATACCCATCATTAAGAAAAACAAAAGCAAAACGTAGCTATGTTCTGCTCTGGCTTTTTCTTTTTTCCCCTAAAGGTCAATCACACCACCTTCGTTCAAGGAAAAAGCACAAGGAAAAGGTGGCACCTCTACATAACAACAATGATGTACTAATATAAAATAAAGATCTTGTTGCTGTTATCAGATTTCTTGGAGAAAAACTGATTAGATCCCCAGACTTTGCTGCGTGCAATGATATTTTATTGGTTTAATGGAAGTCATAACAACACTATTCTTTTAAAAGTCACAAAGACAAAAACACAGTTTTTCACTATTATACTCTAGCCTCTTCTGGATACAATGAGTCAAAGTCCATGATTTTTTATTTTTTAAAATCTTTTCCTACCTTCTCGCTGGGAGGACCGTGACATATGTTTCTCAGACAGTGGGCCTGAATCATTCTGGTGACACGGTGAACCGACAGCTCGAGGACCAGACGAACCTGATGACGTTATGTCTGCAAACGGCATCAGCCATGTGAATGTAACAGCTAAGCACAGCCCACTTAATACGCATGTCCCTCACAACCCTCCTTAGAAATGTTAAAGGGTAAGGCATCTTGTTAAGAAAACACTTTTCAAAGCTCAGTTTATAGTTTAGAAGTACCATTCTCTTTGTGCCTCATACAAGTAAACTGCCAGCACAACAAATTCGACTGGGAATAAGAGGTGAGCTGCAGTTCTTTCTTCTTATGCACCTGTCACTACTAGAAGTTGGGGTATGAATTTTTCCCCAGGCCACTCCCTTTGTATGCTGACACCCCAAATGGCAGAATTTGTCAGTATTTTGGTCTGTTACTGCCACAAAGCAGGAGGAAGCAAGCAGTGAAATTTCAGAGCGTGCAATTCTTCTAGGTCTGCTGTTGAGAGCGACCACACCACTACACATCAGTCATTAGTAGCTGCTGGAGCTCACACACAGTTGGCCCACTCGACAGGGGTTAAGTTTCTTTTATCACAGGACCAAGGACAGTAGATAAATAAAGCTAGAGACTGCCAGCTCAAGGTGCCAAAATTCCACAGGCTCTATCTATATCCTGTAGTGCTAAAGTCTTGATGCCAAAAATCACCCTAGACACTTTACCTGAGCCAGAACATACCACTCAACAGTACAGATGTGTGGGAACCCTGAACAACAGAGCAGCTACTGTGCTGAGGAGTTCATCTGCAGAATCCGTCCTACTCCACCTTTGCCTTCTTTTGCTAGCTAAGAGTATCCCATGAAACACCTCTAACACAGAAGCTGCCACAAACTTTTCCACAAGCATTCACCTGAACTTGATGTAGTCCTCCTAGCTCTTAAAATTGGGTAGCTGCCAACCTCTAAAGATTTGTTTAGGTCAAGGTCATGCAAAATCAGAAGATATCCAGAGGAGGTCGAGATCAACATTTTGGAACAGTCTGGTGTCAGCCTCATTCGCATAAGAAAACGGGTATGAAAAAACTTCTTGTGAGGACATCCCTCTTCTGTGCACCTGAACAGCAAAAAAAGCAGAAGAAATGGCTGCACTTAGCTTCAACTCAAGCCCCTAATAATGTCCAGAAGGGTCCAAGATGTGCTAAGCATCCTTGTTCATCCTAAAACTTTTTTTTGAGCACTGTCTTTATCCTACTTAAATTAGATTTTAATGAAATGGCAGAAGTCACATTTTCATCCTACCACAACAACAAAGACAGAACTTTTTCAAAAAGTAAGAACTACATTTTGGCATGTCAGCAAGAAAAGTTCTCCTTTTAGCTACTGGACTATTACCATATAAAGGTGATGCAAGTTCTTGATAGGGGCTACAAACTTATCACAGTATTTAAGAATGCATTATAGCACCATACAAGGAAGCAGGTTTTCCTTTACAGAAGAACCCTATCTTTGTGTGTTCTAGAAACAACAGCACGAACACAGCCACATACCTGTTTGTGTCCCAGATGATCACATTTCCATCAAACCCTGACGTTACTAGTAATCTCGTATTGGTATCATACTCGATGTTCTTAACCCAGCTGGTGTGACCATGTAAAGTGCACACTTTCGTGTTCAGCTTTCTCAAATCCCAAAGTGCTATTGTAGTGTCATCAGAACAAGTCGCAAACAGTCGATTATCTAGGAACCTGAAAAGGGGAGAGAAATACTGTGGCTCCTTAGTGCCTTCTTTAATTTAAATATTCTTAAACAGGAATTTAATCTAACACAGAAATAAACAGAGTGGCCACACAAAAAAAATAACATACAGCAGCATATTTGCCAATAAAACAGTTCCATTAAAAAACAATACTGTTGGGACATGAACCAGTACTACATCTGTAGTAGCAAACTAGTAAACCTGCAGAAGCATAGCAGAAGTTTTTCTGTGGGTGGGGTTTTTCTTTGTTTTGTTTTTTTTTTTAATTAATCATGTGATGGTCACACAACCACCAAACCACCAGTGGAACAAATGCTCACACAGAATCCCTGTGGTAACTAAATCAGTTACCCATCTGGGCAATAGGCAGCTTTAAACTTACCAAGTCTTTATAAGACACAAACATCTCAGGACTGGTCAGCTTCTAGACCCCTGGCAAGATATTCCCATTGGCTGGTTTGTCAGACCCTGCAACAGAAGTCTGCTAGCCTAGACTGTTTGTAATTTATGCCTTTCATCTTCCCCATTTTGCCAGAGCCTTTCAGTACTACAGACAGGCAGCACCAGAAGACACAGCAATTCTGTATTCATTTCAGACTACACAAGATCCTATCACCTTGTAATTAATTAAACCCATGCTCTTCTTTTCTTTCTTCATTTCTACCCACATATCCACCCTCGTTCTTCCCCTTCTACTCTGTAAATCTTCCTTTCTTCCCCACCACAGACATAAGCTCCTTGCGTTCAAAGGAGGTTTTTAAAATAAGGTCACCTTTTGTTATTCCTACTGGAACGCCCCTTCTGCTTTTAAACCTTGCTGCTCTGTACAGCACATATCCTGCTAGCTTAGCCAAAACACACAGAGTCCAAGCCTCCTTTATCTAACACCTGAACACCTCCTCCATTGCAAGGCCCGGCGCTGCTCTGTACCACATGCTGTTGCTCAGCATCCAATGTAGACCAAAAGCTCTCACCAGATCTTTACCCCACTGGCATAGGCAGAACATGGTGCTCATTGCAAAACGTGCAATAGGAGTCCATCCATATTGGGAGAAGATGAAAAAGTGGAAAAGAATAGGGGTCATACTAGTTGGATTACTATACTGATCAGGTTAAGTACTTAGCCTGTTCAGGTAGTAATTCTTTACCATGATAATCTCTGGTCTTCAGCCAAAATTCAATGTCTATATCACTCCTGCCTGAGGTAGTAGGAGGCAGCTTGACCACCTTCAAGTGATTACAGAAGGAAAGAATATCTGTTGTAAAAACACTCCATCAGACAGAAGGGGATAGAAGGGCTGGAATCAGCACTAAAAAGGCATAGCTAGGTAATAAATTGAATAAATTGAGTCTGCAATTTATGCATGCCCTTACTTTTAGAAGGGCAAAGCATACTGTTTTATCTTTGGAATTCATGTCTGATGAAGGTATTTGGAAAAAAAAGCCCTACCTGACATAAAAGGAAAAATAAAATCTACCAAAAAACCCAGAAGTAGTTGCACATGAATACTAAGGCAAGAACGATCTACACAGAGATGTATGGTAAGTTACCCCTACAAACAGCATTTTATCTTATAAACTTAGAACCAGCTATATCATGTAAAAATAGCAACAAGTCCAATGAAAAATAACCAATTACCATGGGAGGAATCCAACGTTTCAGATTTTCAGGGCAAAAGTAAAACACAGTGTACCTCTTGCCTGTATAAATCCATCATCTGCCTTTATCTTGGATGCTACAGGTGACCCTGCTTCACCCACTACAAACAGGTTTCAGAAGAAATAGACAGTGAGCTACAATTGGTATTGAACAGCTTTCATATAGGGAACAACCAAGTAGACTAGGATTCACTTGAAAAAACGCTAACTGAAGGTGCGTATGACTCAGTCATATAAAACTGACTGACATGGAGAAAGTAAATAGAAATTAATTGTTCCTTGTCTTCTTACTTAAGAAAACAAAAAAACTAGAGGGCCTCAAACTAAGCTAGCAACTTTTAAAAACACTATTAAATACTCCTTGAAACACATTTGTGCCATGGAGCTCTGCCATGGGAGAGTTTTATGTAAGCTCAAAACATGACCAAATTCAGGTGGAAAAAAATGTCTGCTTCAGATGATTACACACAAATCCCCAGCGACTGGGAGACTACAGGAAGAGGACCTCTACATGCTTCCCTGTTCATACACACCTTTGAGGCACCTGCTGTAGGGCACAGCAGTAACGGTATTTGGTTTTGGTGCTTATCACAAGGAATTTCTGTAGTCCTATGGTGCCTGGAGTCCTGCTCATTAAGCAGAAACAATACACCAGGTAGTGCTGTACCAACCATGTGTTACAGAACATACTTAAGTTCCTTGTAACTAAGTCTGTAACAACAAACAAATGGGGACATGCAGGAAAACACAGTAGAAGATGCCAGTATCCTACAAAGACAAAATAAAGCTTTAAGAAGCATTTTGAATAAAGCAGAAAATTTACTACATGTTGCTAGGAAGGACCTTAGTCTGATGATTAACAGCAGACCTGAGAGTTACCTGCTTGGAGACAGTACTGGTATTTTTATGTAAATCAAACTACACAGAGAAAAGACATTTAAGGACCAAGAACAGACTTACAAAGCCTCACAGACAGACAAAGTCTAAAGAAAGGAGATCCTTTGAATAAGAGAAGAGAGTGGCAGGAAGTTTCAATGCTGTTCTCAAACAAGGAATGAGATAAATTTTCAAGACCAGCACAGCTGACCGCAACAGAGACAGCCAACCAGTCAATGAGCCTGCAACAGAACACTCTTTGTAAAATGTGAGCCACGCTAACTCACCTGAAACCCTAGCAAGAGCAGCTTGAATGTAAGGATCAGATACTGAATTAGGGATGTGTAAAAATCAAAATAAATCCAGTTTGCTTTTGCCTTATGAGATCTTAATAATACGGCTTTATTTCTCACCTAGCTTTATCTAAAAACTAAGCATGTTTAAAGGACAACCACTAGCATGCAAGACGTGAAAAGCTGTTATTTCCTTACAGAAAAGGAAACATCTCAACATCTCCTCTTCTATTTTGTGTCAGTTAGCCCCAGCTTGAGTTACAGGGGTGGCTTCTGTGAGAAGCTGCTAGAAGCTTCCTCTATGTCCCAACAGAGCCAAGGCAACCAGCTCTAAGACGGACCCACTGCTGGCCAAGGCCGAGCCCATCAGCAATGGGGGTAGCACCTTCCTGATAACATAGTTAAGAAGGAAAATAAAAAGTTGCTGTGGCACAGAAACCGCAGCAGGACAGAGGAGTGAGAATATGTAAGAGAAACAACCCTTCAGACCCCAAGGTCAGTGAAGAAGGAGGGGAGGAGGTGCGCCAGGAGCCGGAGCAGAGATTCCCCTGCAGCCCGTGGGGAAGACCATGGTGAGGCAGGCTGTCCCCCTGCAGCCCAGGGAGGTCCACGGTGGAGCAGATCTCCACCTGCAGCCCAGGGAGGACCCCACGCTGGAGCAGGGGGATGCCCAAAGGACACTGTGACCCCATGGGAAGCCTGCACTGGAGCAGGCTCCTGGCAGGACCTGCAGATCTGTGGAGAGAGGAGCCCAAGCTGGAGCAGGTTTGCTGGCAGGACTTGTGACCCCGTGGGGGACCCACGCTGGAGCAGTCTGTTCCTGAAGGACTGCACGCCATGGAAGGGACCCACGCTGGAGCAGGTCGTGAAGAACTGCAGCCCATGGGAAGGACCCACATTGGCGAAGTTTGTGGAGGACTGTCTCCCATCGGAGGGACCCCACGCTGGAGCAGGGGAAGAGTGTGATGAGTCCTGCCCCTGAGGAGGATGAAGCAGCAGAGACAACATGTGATGAACTGATCATAAGCCCCGTTCCCCATCCCCCTGTGGGGGTTAGGTAGAGAATCTGGGAGTGAAGCTGTGCCCGGGAAGAAGGGAGGGGTGGTGGGAAGGTGTTTTGAGATTTGGTTTTATTTCTCATTACCCTACTCTGGTTGACTGGCAATAAATGAAGTTAATTTTCCCCAAGTCGAGTCTGTTTTGCCGGTGACGGTAATTGGCTGAATGATCTCTCCCTGTCCTTATCTCGACACACAAGCCCTTTGCTATATTTTCTCTCCCCCGTTCAGCTGAGGAAGGGAGTGATAGAGAAGCTTTGGTGTGCACCTGGCATCGAGCCAGGGTCAACTCACCACAGCAACTATGGCAATTACTCTTACAATTCAAAATACCAGCCATATCCATACAAACATTTGAGCTTGCTACAGTCTCGGACTTGCACTTCAAACATAAATCACACACTACTTGTTACACTCTGATTTATCACATTTATTCAGGGCATTCCAAAGGTCAGTTAAAACAGGTGACAATACCTTAACACTCTTCCCCTCCCATAAACTGCAGCTCCTCCATCAACAAAACCACCTGCCAGCATTATATACCACCACTTTCAGATTCCTCCTCTTCCCCTTTCCTGCCTTTCCCCACCACCCAGTACCAAAGAGAAGGAAAATGGCACAAAGCAAAGAGCAGCCTAAATGGCACAAAGCAAAGAGCAGCCTAAATGGCTTCACAAAACCCACTGTCTCCAAGAAAGTGCATAACACAATCTTATCATGCTGTCATAAGAAAAGCATCTATGGTAAGACAAAATATTCCTTCTGACCTACCTGATATTATTTACACAGTCTTCGTGGGCTTCAGAGAGAGTTTTGATGTGCTTTGAAGATATTGGGTCAAAAAGCAGTACTTCAGTCTGTTCACAAGCAACAGTCAACACTGACCTGCAGGGGAGTAGAGCAAAGCAGAAACATTTGTATTCGGTAAAAGAAATACCTGTGCATATCCAGCTAACCTCCATTCCCTATCCTCACAAGAAACACAGCTTCACCATTACTTAGCTTGGCTTTCTGTTCACACTGCATAGAATCTGCAGCAGTGTTTATATTTTTTTATTGCCTTCTAGCAGATGCCTATTCTCAAGCACTAGTACACAAAACACGTTGAAGAAAATAGCATGTTGTTTTATTCTGGAGAAGTTAACTTCTCTAACTTCTTTTTGAGAGACCGTGACTCTTCCCCTGTCTGGCTACTGGCATAATTAATGCACAGCTGGTGCATTTGCTGGACAAACCACATGATCTTTTAATTCACTTTTTTTTTTAACACGCAAGGTGGTTGTTTTATAACAGCTATGCACCTCATAGATTCAATGATGGCATTATTTAAATCACCCAGTTAAGTGTATTTACATCAGTGGGTTTTTTAGAAGTTACTTGAGGGTGATTTGTCCCATCACTGCAGTGCAGTGCATGAACTCAGTGGTTCCTAGCTGGAAAAAAAAGAAGAATCAAGCTCTGGCATGAATCCTGCTGCTTTGTTCATGTCAGGATTATTTGCTTAATGTTGCAGGAGAGAGGGAAAAAAAAAGACAACAGTACCCAAGACTAAGTGCAAAGGCATCTACTCTGAAATTGTACTGCAGATTTCCCATATGACTGTGCCCGTGTCATGATATCCCTCTGTCCATTCACTGGCAACACTTTTTGAGGGGTTCTGAGACACTGTAGCTTGTTTTTCAGGGTGTGAGATACCAGCTGAAGAGCTCTGTAAAATGCAAGGGTCTGACAGAGGCTGTACTGAGAAAGGAATCGCAGCCTGCACTGCGTGCTGGCAGCCTGCTCACATGTGTGAACCAACCAGCCACAAGCTACCTTTGGATAACCTACACTCTGTCACTGCATTAACACTCATTAAAGAGGACAACATATGGTGACAACCTGCTCCTATCTCCCTTCCTCATCAGCGACAATATTCCCTTAAGATCTTTACAGATATTACCCCAGCTACACCACCACTTCATAACAGGCAGCCAGCGCTGAAGTGCAACCACCAACTTCTTCAGAGTAAAGACATACCATTTCCTCATCTCCTTCCATAACACTGACTTCAATGGCTATTTAGTTTGGCACCAACTCAAAAGCAGCATAAAGATGACATTCAGACAGCGTATTCACTAGCAGAATTTTTAAACCAAATTCTAAAGGATAGTACCCTTCCCCAATAACCCAACTACTCAAGCAGCTCTGCTGGCTGCCTGCATTTTTCCACATCAGAATAGCGTGAAGCCAGTAAATGCTAAAGGCAGAAATAAGACTGATTCAAAGGTTTATTTAAAATATACAGCCTTTCTGCAACCAAGTCATTTTTTCACTAAAGCCTTACAATATAAAGTTTCAATTTAAAAGTTTTACTTTTTAAAATAGCAAGGAGTCAGGGGATTGGTATCGGACATCACATGCTATTAACTACAAAGAAAAAAGTTCTCTGACAAAAGGTGTTGTTTTCTAAATGCAGTAGTGTTGTTATGGAAGTGATGGTCAAAGGCAGCAACAGCAAGGCACTGGCACCAGGCTAAATTGGGCATTAGCAGAGACTCAGGCTGGTAACATGGCTAATTGTTATCCATGTTTTTTGAGATTAATTTCATAACAGACACTAAACCAGGCTACCATTACTACTCTTGATACCTTGAATAAAGGCAGGAGAAGGAAAATTTTAGTGTATTGCTGTACTAATGAACTTTTGCTTGCTTGAAAACTTCAAAATTTTGGTATGTACTAATTAGATAAGAAAAAACTTCAGCTTTGTCAATGGTATGCACTAAAGGCACCAACAGACAGGAGGCCTCAGGCTTGATGTGCCTTGGGCCCTGATGATAAGCTTTGAGTTCTGCTGAGTTTTTGTAATTAAAACTTGCTAAGGCCAGTTAACTAGGAGAAAAAGATGACCCACACCACGCGTGACCAAAGGGGGGACACTATGTAAATGGTAATATGAATACGTATGACTGGAATAATATAAATTTCTGCTTGTCATACGTAACGGTGTGCACGATAAGTGGAGCGATCCCCCATGCACCCAGCACTGCAGTGAAGAATGCCTGCTTTCTAAAACTCCAAAATCGAGTCTTAGAGAGTTTCTTTGACCAGGTTTTTCGGTAACACTCTGACAACACAGAAAAGTCTGGAGCAAGATTTAGTATCTTACTGTATCACCTATTTCACTTGCCAAAACCAGAACAGCAAAGATGACCCTGTGCTTCAGGAACCTTAAACACACCTGGCTGGTGATCTACAAAAGAAATTACTTTCCAGCAACAGTCACCTGAGAATGGTTTTGATAGTTTGTGGCACTTAACTTTGTCCTCTTCAAAAAATGGGAGGAACAAATAAGGAGCTGAAACTTAGTTCTACAGCACAACCACAGCAAAATCATCGTGAGTTCAGGTGTTCATGGAAACCAGAGCTCTGTTCTGATGAAAACTCACTGAAAACAGAAAAGCTGACTAGCTATCAAGGGTAACAAAGATTTCAATCCTGACTATCCAAACTGAAAACACTGTTGCAAACTGAAAACCTAGGTCACAAGGTGTTTCTGCCAAGAAAACTTCATCTACAAGCATACTGTAATACACAAATACGCAGATATCTCTGAAATAAACTCACTCCACTTTAAGCTGGTGTGCCAGGACTTCTTTTATGCTAAACCGAGTCCAACTGCCACTTGCTTTTGTCTACACTGTTATACAAGTATACTGCAGGACACCTCTAAACTCATTTGTCAGTGCAGACCCACAAAACTCATGGAACCCTAAATGAATAAGTAAAAGCACAGCATTTAAAACAGAAACTTAGCTCTCCGAGGACTCTGACACGGATGCTTGTGCTAGTTAAAGAAACGGCTCCACCACCCTGTTCTCAATCTTGTGCCTCACTTCATCGCCTCCCCTTCTCCTGCAGGAAGGCCTGCAAAGGGAGCTGGCAGCACCTCCAGGCAGCGGGAAGCGCACCCCATCCAGGGAAGCCCCCTGTCACCGCTCTCCCTCTCCACCCGTGCTCTTCCGTGCCTCCCACCTGCAACGCGGCTGCTAGCCTGGAACGACACCCCAAGCAGACGGTTTCACGGCGCGATACAGCCGGTAGCAGGCGGGAACCTCGGAGGGAACGGTGCAGTCTGGCTGAGGAGCATCCCAGCCCTGTCCCCCCCCGGGTTGAGTCCCGACCCTCCTCCACCTGAGCTGCCCCAGACCTCACCGGGGTGCCCCCCCCCCGCCACCGGGCACACCAGGTCATTAGAAAAGCGTCGTGTCGTGCCCCCCAACCCCAGGCAAAGAGCTGGGGGGGGTTACCAGCCTCACCCCAGCCCCCGGGAGCGCCTGCCGGGGCTCCTGCAGACCCTCGCCCCAGCGCGGCCGAGCCAGG